ACAAACTACGTTGATGCAACAGTGATAACTAAAATGATGATTCAGATATTCGTCAATCGAGTAAAAAATGGCGTCAAGTAAGGACTCTGTACTTCCCTGGCAAACCTGTCGTCTGTTTGGCACAAGTTAGCTTATCTGAGAACGGCAGTTGTATTATGTAATAAACCTAAATAACGTAAAAAACCGTCAAAATCTCATCTTGCAGACTAGGTAGTTTTTAGTGTGCAAATACTTCGTTCCACGTTTGCTCGCTATGATCGCTGTTCGTTGACGTTTAAGCAACGCATGCACAAAACGAGTTCAAATCAAGTGTACAACAGCTTGTAGAAAAACCTACGTTATATCACAAAAACCTACGAAGTGTCCAAAAAAAATTACAAAATGTCACTTTTCGAGATGCTTAGTACCCGTGTGGGTTACCAATCTTTCTATTTCTGCTTCTGTTCCTTTGTTACGGGCGTGAGCATGGTTGTCCTTTTTTTCATCTACGCTTCCGCAAGATTATATTTGTCTATCTTTATATTTACTTAAATTTACTTCTGAAGTACAATGGCACGTAGCTATAGCTGACCTTCATGGCGTCGTAGGTTGATAGGTACCTCGTAAAAAGGACCGCTGGCTGTGGTTGGTGGCTTTTAGTTACATTTCCCTTTCCATCCTTGTTTTCGATGCACATCCATTTGGGCCTGATGAAGCCAATAAGCTGTAACGTAGGTACGTCGCTCTGGTTACCAATCCTATTTCTTCTCCTGTTCCTTTGTTGCGGACGTGTCCACGGTGGTCTTTATTGTTCATAGTACGTAATATTCTTTTTACTTCCCACGCCTAATAGTTTGCATTTTAAAGAACTCCGTGATGCGGGACTTCCGCTACTGATGTTAGGCTACGACCAAAATTATTAGAAGTCGGAAGAAGAAGTTGTAAGTGCTTCTCATTCTTATTTTCAAGTATAGAGGGTCATTCAGGAATCCGTGCATTTCTAGGGTAGAAAGTACGAGGTCTGGCTATAAATTGACCTCTTGTTTTATATGACCTTCTAGAATGGAAAGTTGCATATAAAAAATGTTTCAGCGTTTCATCTCTTGTACTCCAGCACCAAGTTTATTTTTCCTTATAGACATCATATTACCATTTTGGACCGATAAATAGAGTTTTATATACATACATTGACCCTGCCAAATCTTAGTTAGGTAATTAAAAAAAACATAATTTCCTGAGTAGGCCTTGAAATTATCAGATAGGCATTTGTCTCGTATACCAGATTTATCCCACGGTTATTTTTATGTTTTTCCTGACTGTTTGAGATGACATTTCAAACTAAATTGCTTGTTGTCATTGCCGCATTTTGTCCTCTACAAGATAGCGTAGCAGAATCTTCAATTCGAGGTGTCTTCCTTCAACTTCCATCACCAACCTTGTTTTTTCATATTGACGCCATATTAGAATTTTGTACAGGTTTCCAGTCCTAAATTCAGTGAAAGTTGACAATGAATTTGAAGTTGGAAAGAAAATTATAAGGAAATAAGAAGGGATGCTAAACCTGCACACAAAATGAAAATGTTATTGATGGTAGTAGCAATAATAATCTTAAATAAGCGGAGATAAAATATACCTGATATCCACGATGTTATTTTGTAGGCAAAGCCTGTCTGTCTCTGTACATTTTTCAGCGCTCAGTTTATTATGATTTTCCGATAAATCTGGTATACTAAATTGATGGCTATTTGGTAATTTCAAGGCCTACCTAGGAAATTATGTTTTTTTAAAATAACTAAGGTTTGACAATGTCAATGTACGACATTAATTAAAAAAACTACAAAAGGTAAACATGTTCCTTGAAAATCGTGTCATCTAAATGTTGACCATTACGTCGGACACACTATTGAAATCTCGCCTCAGTATTTCGTGCCACTCGCTGCAGCAGTCATTGTCGGACAGCATTAACCTCGCGAACGATAGCTAAGACGTGGGTTGTTTGCTGCTGATCCTGTTGATCTGAATCTCCGCACCCACGAACGAATCGGTTCTTCACTGCTCCAAACATCACGTTTTCGTCGAATTTTATACCGTGTACAAACTTGTTCAGTTCCCAAGATCTCAAAAATAAAAGCGAATTTGAGTCACGGTGTAAATAGATGAACTTCAGATTTAAAAACAATTACCAAATTCCATTCCACCAGTCAAACAAAATTGAGTTTCCAGGTGTCCACCCGAATCTGGGATGTCTGGCAACCCTGATGCATGAGCGACAACGATTGTACAGGTACCGGGTATGGATACGGAAAACAGAGTAATCAAAGTAATAATTTCGTGTTCGGATTGGTACTCGTTACTTCGGTTATCTATGAGTAACGTTACTCGAGTGCCGTATAGTTCCTTTTTCAACACCACTAATCAGCTGTTATTCAAATAATGTCTAATATAAATATAACCTGGAATGTGTACTCAGTGAAACAAGAAAGTTATTGCAAATTCTATTTTTTTGCAGGTTTTGAGTTTGCCGGTAGCTATACGACATATATTTGAGTATTTCTTAATCGCTGTAACTATAGTGTGGATGTTTGTTCAATTCCTGAACAACCAATAAATATTTGACTATGGATGTATGTATATCAAAAATGCTGAATGGTTTTGTGGGAATATCAATCGACCGTGCTATAATGGCACTGATGGGCCGCAAATAAATGAATGAATGTAACGAGCAATATCTATGAAATTTTTGGTAGAGCCTGTCATCAAGTAGGAGGGCTTAATGGCTATCTGCAAGAGAGGTTTACAGGAATAGAACACGCGGCAGGTGATGTTGAATCGGTAAAATCGCATATCAATTGAAGAAAATAATATAAACATGAATAAACAATCGACAATATTAAATAAAAACATGAATTTTATTCAAAAATCGAACACTTTTTTAAATTTTGACCAAATCATATGTAATTTCTTAATATTCAATAAGCTGGTGATATTTTTTTTGTTTCAGAATAGTTGTATTTTACAAATACACATTATTAATGTAGGTAACATTTTAATCGAAATTACGCAAGAAACGTGATTTCAGGATTAACTTAAAATTTATAGCTTTAGATTTCTCGAAATAATATCAATGTAGCTTCGGTAGTCATACTCATGGCACTGAAGGTTTTGTCATCACAATAGCGACTTTTTTGATATTATGAGCTTAGCCTGACTATGATATATTTGAAAAAAAAAGTTGGAATTAAAACCTACTTCACAAATAAGCTGTTCTTATCTGATAGATCTGAATGTACCTATTGTGGCTGAATTTGATACATGATGCTTACTTACTGATTGTTTGGTACCTACATATATATCCACCTACACATTCTGCTCTCAAAATATGTATCATATTAGCTGCCCGAAAATTGAAGTAGGTCAATGAGGTGACATGAGTGAGCTGTTTGTGGAGCAATATCGAATATCTACTATGCTATCAAAAAACTGAAAGACTGTTTTTCATGATTTCGATATAAAAAATTTAGATTAGCGTCTCAAGATCCGGTTTTTTATTTTTACTAATTTGTGCACTTTGAAGAACAATTGAATATTTTTTCCATCTCTCTCCGGAAGTACTTTCAATTTCTAAGCGGTATCGTGTTAGTTACCCAAATTCGCAACTTTTCCCCCATTTAAGCCACTTTGTAGGTATCTCTTACCGTTTCCGAAATCCCAGTGGTGAGAATCGAATTTGAGACACCCGGTATGTTCTTTCTTCGATAGCACGAAATATTCAAAAATATTTATTTAATATTTAATAATATTTTTATCTTACTTAAATATTTGTTTTTTTTTTAAACAAATATTTAATAAATATTTGTAATATAATATTTATATTAAATATTTATATAATATCTTTTAAATATTTTATCTACAATATTTCTTGTATAATATCCATTAAATATTTACTTTTCAATCAATGGAAAATATTAAATCTCCAATATTTAAAAAATATTCATTAAATATTTTCGGCTAGGGCGCATCTGCGTGAGACCTCGAGCGACCAATGGGATAATAGCAAGTCGGCAGCCATTTTACCTGTGACTTTCACTATGATAGCGTGCTTCCTGTGTATCTCCAAGTGGTTCATTATTTGTGTGTTTTTTTTGTGGAAAATGGAAAAGTTTTTCGATAATTACATAGTTTACCTAATTCATCTGACTAGTAAACAAAATTGTGCCAGCTGAGTATAAGACCAAAACTAACTAGCCTTGAAGTGTACTACTAATAAAAAGTCACATTTCAACAAAATCAATAAGTGTTAGTCAAAAGATTAAGTTGTGCCCATAGACATTTTTTATCAAGATATCTAAAATCACACTAAATTTTCTTAGAAACTAACCAAATCTCGAACTATCATAGGAATAACATGTGGGGTCCTTTTAGGTGCATTATAGAGCTGCTTTTCAGTGACCCAGTTGAGCTACTCGGAGTAACTCACCATGCTCAGCACCAATAAATACACTGGAAAGCAGCTTATGTAGATACTCAATAATACTTCATAATTAGTAAGTTTGTTTTTTTTTCAGAGGAGTAGACTTCCAAGATGCAGAAGATGCTTAGAATGTTTTTTTGATAATATTTTTCTAGCAAATTAAACCATTAGGTATATCTAGAATGAATTTTCTTTATAAACCCAATTTTATATATCTAAGCATTCCTACAGGTTTTGCTAAAATAACCAATGAAGAATTTTCTATCTACACTGAAAATATGTATCAAATTAATGCTTGAAGATCCATACATATTTACGAAAAATATTAGATATTTCATCAAAATATAAAATTTATACTTAATCTTTCCTTATATATTTTCTAAATATTTGGAAAGAGTATATATATTTAACAAACATTTTTTTTTAATATTTAATGCTAAGTGGATATATGAAACTTCTACCTTTTACATCATTATTTGTTTTACCACGGATCTTAATTACTATCGCGTTCAACCCTTCCATATTTAAAAATCCAAATAATACAACCATATCCAGTATTACTATATTTTTTATTATTTGTCTGTTTATTTATAAATATACATTTGTTAAAACTTAAAAATAAATAACAATCTCACGTTATACACATGCCAGCATGTTTATACAAGTCCATGAGCATCAGAGATAAAACAAAAAGGTTTAAATAATTACCTATGTACGACTTTATACAAAACATAATCAGTCGGCCATTGTACAATCACAGAAAACACGAGGAAAACAACTGAAAACGAACTATATACAACCAAACCGTCCACTATCAAACAACTACCACTAAACACTAGTACATCACAGGCACAGGCCGCCTGATCTCCAGATCTGAACCCGACGGACTCGACTTTGGACTTGGGGAGGCTGAATACATCATTGGAGTTGTAGGTATACTAGAGAACATCCCCATATGTGGACCTGATGTATAAGCCTTAGGGGATTGGTATAATGATGAGTAAAGTGAAGAATGTAAGGAGGTCACTACAGCAGCCTGGGGCATGTGTTGATGATGAGGTTCCTCAGGTTTCATAGAGGCTTGCATCCTTGATATGTCAAACGTTGGGTTGAAATAGGAGTATGGTGAACTTAGCGCATCCATTGGAGGAAATGGATATGGCAGCTGGTGCATCGGGAATCCCCCAACGGTTGACTTGAGACTGGACGTCAAGGGACCCTTAGGCTTCCTCCTTGGCCGGTACTTATAATCAGGATGCTCCTTCATATGCAAAGCTCTCAACCTCTTAGCTTCATCTATAAACGGCCGCTTGTCACTTTCACTAAGGAGTTTCCACTCTGCACCAAGCCGCTTCGAAATCTCCGAATTGTGCATCTTCGGGTTGTCCAACGCGATTTTACGCCGCTGTATCCTCGACCACACCATGAAAGCATTCATGGGCCTCTTGATATGGCCCTCATTTGAAATACTAATTGGCGAAACCGATTGTTGAGACTGCGTTTGAAAGTCTTCCGGAGTTGTAAAGCCGTACATATTCATCACTACAAACAGACTGACAGACACAAACAGAGAGATGCTTACAACGACACGGATAGCAAGATACTGCCTACTAACCTTCAGCGGTCATGAGGTATTTCTGGCGGTGGGGAAGGCGTGGCCTAACCTAAGAGAATCGTTCCAATGGCGGGACACGCCCATATTTTTTCCCATTGGCTGTCTGTCCCCGCTCCAATCGCTTTGTTTTTATTGTGAGCCGTACAATAGGGATATTCTTACCGAATACCTGACAGGATCTTCCGCGAGTATGTATGAGTTTCACGGGTCTGTTTGGAGGGAATTAATAATTATCCTTAGATGAATTGAGTTTTGAGGCGTGATGAATTGGCGAATGTTTATTTCCACTATCCGCAGATGTAATATTTATCTACCTTTTATGCGGAGATATAAAGGATGATAAGTGATGTTTGATTCTGAGACTCGAGAGTTCGATAATAAACGATGCGATGGTTGATGACAGTGTTGAAGGAAATATACAATTGTTGGATTAAATGAAGATGTTTTTGTGGTCTCAGTATTCCCATCTGGTGCGTTTATTTTTCGAAAAATTATGTTTGTGGTGATAAATCACAGTCAATCGTACGTTTTGTAATGATCCACGATTTCAAAAGAGTAATAATGATGAGATCTACTGGGATTTTCTTTCGTTGAGATATGCTTCGATTGTGTAGTATTATTGGTTAATAAAAGTCTGAACCCTACTGTGGCCAACCAGGTACCCGGGTACCTATGGTCGTACATTATGTTGAATAACTTTTTTCTTAAAAATATTGGCTAAAATCTTTCATTACCATTATTTGACCGATTTCCTATAAAATTGTGCATCAGAAAGTATTTTTTATTTTCAAAAAAAATTTCGAGTTTCAAAAAAATTACCTCGCCAGGCCAACCAGGTACCCGGGTATCTCTATACATCCATAATGGATTCGTATAGTATATTCTAAAATAAAAATTATTTTTATACAAGAAGCAGTAAATTATTAATAATAAATAAAATATAAAATAAATAATATTCATTTATAATTGTTTATTAATTAGTTTCAGTGAGTCAGTGAGTATAATAATAATAAAAATAACATTTATTGATGACATTCTAAACATTTAGTAATTTTTGCAGTATGCTGATCACAAACAGGCTTTTGACACTCGCTGCAAGACTTTCTTGTCTTTCGTTGTTTACGTATCGGTTGCTTACTGCAAATGTAGCATGATCCAACTACAACTTTTCTGCCAGTACTGTCTCGTGGATTGTTGTCAGCAGGAAGCTGTACTGCAGTAATTGGCCTGTCGAAAAAGCTGTTGATCGCTATTCTTGAAGTTTTATGGCGCATAATCTGCTGATTTGCGGAACGATTTGCGATGATCTGCATAGCCAGTTCTTCTGCGAGTTGTAGCAAAAAAGTTTTACGTTGAGTTGTTTTTCTTGGAAGTATCTTATTATTCTCAAAATAAATCAAATGCGCAGCAAGAGAAGCAATAGGTATCAAGAATGTTGAAGAAAAAAGCTAGCGGCCACCTGCACGTTCTTCGCTGCGAAGTATATCTTGAGCACATTTGGTCCATAGTGTCGACAGCTTTGGTTTTATTATATAATAAAATCATTTCCTGCTTTTGATGAATTGCATCAGAAATTTTATCATCATCGTCCATCGTGCTCAGTAAAATTACTGCTTTATTTTTCTTCAGGACATACGAGCACATACTTTCATACCATATTTAGCAGGCTTATTATTGCTACCTAATAATAAGTTCAAATTGGTGTCAAGATAGGACTGGAGCATTTGCCTCCATTGTGTTCGATCAAGAATCTCGAACACCAGCGATCTTAGGTAAAAAAAGTAATAGAAACAATTATATAGGGAAATTTTTTATGAATCAGATTACGAGTAATTAAAGGTAAAGGTACGTGTAATGATATTTCCGCTTATAATGGCCAAACTAGGAATCTAAGAGCAAAAAATGGCATCAATGCTGACATCAGTTCATAAAGGATTATGTTCAGCAGAAGTTGGCCCCTCTCAGAAAAAGCTTAACTACGAACATGTATAACAAAAAAATAAACGGATCAAGTTAGCCAAACAGACTCATACAATTAAAATTTGCATATATACCTACATTGTTTTTTGGACAGTTCTTTAGGGTTTGGCAAAAGTTGTCGATGGATGGCACTCTCCATTCCCCTGAGAAAAATTTCTGCGGGCACATAATATGATCGAAACTATGTGTACATTAGGCGTGGATGACGATCGGTTCGCATCCAGTCAGGCAACGGAGGCCGACTGCTACAGACGTGCATCGGCAGGACCGCGAAGGTGATCGTCTAGCGAGCATCGGAAATATTTCTTCACCATTCTTTTTTAAGCATACGTGTACGGGGAAATCTATGGTGAGTGAAATACTGAAAGATATCTAGAAGATGCTAACAATTACTACAGCTGGAGGCGTATAAGTATACCACTGTCCAAAAATTGAGATACACCACCCAATTGTACACCCCTTAAATTTTTGTCAGTGAACAGTGTCCTTTGAAACGTCAGAAAACAAAGTTTGAACGTTTTTTGTTTTGTTTACTTTTTTGCCCCTAGTTCCGCCGCCATTGGATCGATTTTCAAAAACTATAAATGTTTTTCGTCCTTGGCGTAGTAGTGACCTATAGTGTATTTACACCCAAGATAGAATGGATCCGTGATTGTCAAAAGCAAGGACGGCGTACAGGGCCGCATTCAGGGCTACCTCCGAATGATGGACAACCACCAACGTGTTGTAAAACAAAGATGACACTTAGCAACAACCAAGCAAGGTGAATACGAAAACACGAGCACGCAGCGATACACGCGACGGACGGTGGCCTGAGTGCAACTCTGCCTGCGCTGCCCCTGCCCCGCGCATTATTCCGCCAGGCGACCGCTTGAAATTTAATGGCGAATTGACCAATAAGAGGCGTTGTCCCCACCTGTTACCGAGAGATCACGCGCTAACTGTTATTAATTACATCTCATTTTGAATTTGGATTCAGTTTAGAGTGAAATTCCATCAAAATCTGACCGGTACTTTCCTAGTTATAGAGAAGTAGTAGCCCTGTGTATACTTTCCAAGTCATAGAAGGGTCAACGATTAGCGGACAGAAAGACAGACAGACCGACGGAAATGAACGACATGGACATAATATCCCTTTTACGAAATTTTTCGCGATTAAAATCTTTCGACGCCAGTGGCGAAAGAAGTAAAAATAACTATTTAATGTAGAGGACAAAATTTGCTACAAAGAAGGTCTTTTACGTTTTTTCCGACACCTTGATGGTTCTTAGAATAGGTATAAAGAAAGAAATTCAAATTTCGTATCAAAACAGTCAGGCGACATCGTCATCTCTTTTGTGACATGTGGCGTCTTTTTGATAGCGGAGGCATCTTAATTACAAAACAGGAAAACAACAACAAACTTATATTAATAACAATAATCACAGATACAACACTTCGGCACTCGAGGAATAAATCGAGCGGGTCACAACACGGCGCCTGTGTTATATCTAGCCACTTATCACTCGCTGGAGGCATGGTCAGTGGAAGGTGTGGTTTTTCTACGATTAATATACCGATACCGTTTGAAATAGAAATAGAGTTTTTTTTTGGGGGCTTGTTCTATAACTTCTCTATGTTCAGTATGAACAATATCTGAAAAATTGTTTTTCTCCGATAAGAACAAAATAGTTTTGCAGAAGAAGAAAACGTAATCTATCGAATGAACCATATGCGACCTTCCTTTGTCTTTTTGTAATGCAATAACGAAATCTCATGCCTGTGCGACTATTTGTTCTGAAGCTATCGCGGCAGAAATGTTGACAAAAAAGAGTTGATATTGTGACAAAAAAACAAGAGAATATCACAAATCCGTCATTTTTCCACACGCCATAAAATAATTAGACAGTATGTATTAATAATGCTGCCCCAATCGCACAATTGAAAAAAGGGATGAGCGACCTTAACCGGTACACTCTTAAAATGTTGAGGAAATTATATAAAACTGCTAGAAATGAATAAAAATCACAAAAAATTGTACATGCAAACTTAAAATTATTTCTCCGCCTGGATCAATTGTATTTCTTATATGATTCAATACGCTGAATACAAATCTGCAGTTGATTTAACTCGTATACCCTCCAAACCTTGAGCAGATTGCAAAAAAAGCTAATAACCGCAACCCCAAAAAAATGTATGAACTAGATCGAGATTACAGAGAAGAATAAGGAGAACGATTTCTCCAAGAAATAAGTGAAACGGATGATCGGTATCAAGGAAGACAGGCTTTGGCTTGCATGATTGGCATTTTTTTCTGATAGATTCAGCGCATCATAATACATAGACAAAATTGAAACATTTTCGGATGCATAACTGCAGTTTTTGCAATTTTTGGCGAAAACTATGAATGTGTCAGGAGTGACTTCAGCCATTTCAGAGATAGAGCCTTGCGTGTGTCGGCAGCGACTGTAACCATTTTAAGAGACTGTGCACGTTTCTGGAGTGGATTTCGTGGTCGTTTCGTGCTCGCTTTTGTCATGTGTATGCATGTGAGAGACAATGTCCGAGAAAAATCGGTGCGGCCTGAAAGTGGTGGACCTGAAGAGGGAGCTAGAGGAGACTGAGCTCAAGATGGCAGGATCGAAGGCGACGCTGGTGGCTCGTCTTCGGGAGTACCTACTTGAAGAGCCGTGGGGGAATCCATGGATCCACCTCGAGACAATGGTTGATTCAGCCAGAATAAAGTCGTCGCATTGACTGTGGTACTCAGAGGAGATGTTCTAGATGTTCTTCAGACTACGAGCATCCAGTCAATCGATGGGAAATGCGGTATAGGATCGAAAGGATGGCCATACCCGCCGCCGCCCGGCAGAATATCGCCCGTCTCAAGCGTCACGCCATCATGCAGGCTGGACACGCCTACCTAGAGCAGGTGCACCAGTCGCAGATAAAGCACCGTCGACAGAAAGCAAATGAAAGCCTGCAGGAGCTCGACCTGGATATTGCCCGGCTATCCATCAGGTCCTGA